CCTTTGTCATCGATATAGGTAATGGCTGTACGTTTTTCAACTGGATTGAAAGGCAAGAAGTGAACCTCTTGGATGCCTGCTCTTGCCTTCAATGTGACAAAGAGACATAAATGGTCAGTTTACAACTTCTTGGAATAGTGAAAATGTACTAATATCACCTAATAACAAAACATATTACCTCCTTAGGATCACCCAACATGTTAACGATACAAGTATCAATAGCATCTTGGTTCTCGATCCTAGAAGCCCTAGCACCAAGCAACATAACAGTGTCCTTGGTCGCATCTTTAGGGAAAACCTACAACCACCATTAAGCATTGATAACACTTTTGCCTTCATTCCTAGAACAATCGCGATGAAAATGTATAATGTTGCCCTGATTACCAACCTCAATTAAGTTTTTGTCAACAGTGAGCTTGTTGAGGGTGAGGGTACCGGTTTTGTCACTGCAAAGAACATCCATACCAGCCATTTCCTCAATAGCAGTCATCCTCTTAGTAATGGCACCTTGTTGTGCAAGCCTATGAGATCCAATAGCCATGGTTACAGATAAGACTGTTGGCATGGCAATTGGGATACCTCCGATAAGCAACACAAGCAAGTTGTCGATTCCATCTCTGTATTTACGCTGCTGAATTGGGTACATCACTATTATCTCAATCACCATTCCTACTGCAATAGAGCAAATACAGAAGTTTCCGATGGCTGTCAACACCTGTGATCATCATCACAATCCAAATCCAAAATTTAGAAATCCCCAATCACGCCAAATGATTCTTTAAATTTATATCACAAACACATTTCTTTTACCTTCTGGAAATGGCCAACATTGTTTGTGTTGTCTACAAGATGAGCAGCCTTTCCAAAGAAAGTGTGAACACCGGTGGCAATGACTACTGCCTCGATTTCACCTTGCTTAACAGTGGAACCAGAGAAAACCTCAGCACCAGGGAACTTTGTCGCAGGCAATGACTCACCAGTGAGTGCAGCCTGATCAACCTTTAAAGGATCACCCTCGAGAAGACGAGCATCGGCTGGGACGATATCTCCCAACTTAATGCTAATTATATCACCTGGAACCAAGATTGAGGCCTCCTCTTCTGACCATTTTCCATCTCTCAAAATCTGGAATCAATAACATTACATATAATATCGATAAATACACTGAGGACTAAAATGCCCAATGAAATTTAAATCTTACATTCGACACTGGATAAGTAATTATGGGGTACCTTAGTTTTGGGAGCAAGATTAGCCATAAGGGCAGATGCAGCATTTCCTGCACTATTTTCTTCAATAAAACTGATGGTAGAGTTTATAATAAGCAATACTGTGATACCAACGAAATCTGGCCAATCTGGTGGTTTGCCCTGCAATTTTATTTTCAAGATTTCACCATTACTAAATCAAACACAATCTGGCCATGTAAAAAATGAGAATACAAATCAAGGGTTGCGTTAGAGTGTTAAGTGCTCCTTCATATTTAATCATAGGCTCGTTTTCAAGTCCTAGGTATGAAAGAAAGCGTTTTAGCCCCAATGTAGGACTTTTCGACTCTGGCACGGGAAATCGCTTTTATTAGGGAGCGTTTTACCCTCAACTTGAGACTTCCCAACACACATCCGAATTTAGTCGAGTCCCTTGTATGGGAAGTCACGTTTCTTAGGGAGCATTTTACCCCTCCATGTGCGACTTTCCAAATTTAGGCAGGCCCTAATATGGGAACTCACCTTTCTGAGGGAGCATTTGCCCCCAATATGGGACTTTCCAACACGAATTCGAGTTTTGTAATTAGACTCAAGTACAAGTACCAGACACCAGGTGAAAAATCAAAAAATAAATAAATATGAAAATAAGTGAAGTTGTAATTACTCCTCCATTGGCCAACACAATAGCCATGATAGCAGCACACTCCATAACCCATGAGAGAGGATTCCACATGAACCCCAAGAATTTGAGAAGCTTGTTCTCCTACAATAAATTAAAAGCATAGGTAATAATTAATACACATATTCAAGATTTTATTAAAATAAAATATGAAGATTTTTTAAAATAGTAATACTTTTTTCTCTTCAAGTTTGTTGGGGCCAAAAATTTCAACCCTTTTTTGGCCCTCAGCAGATGACAATCCCTCTTTGCTACATTTTAGCTGCTGGAACACTTCCTCCACTGGAATGTTTTCCTGTAACAATCATTCAATCACATATTAAATTTTTTATATTGTCGATGTATATTACTTAAATTTCTAAACTTAATTTATTTTTGATAATTCAACTCAAACTATATATGTTAATGTCTTTGCAAAAAGAAAATTCAAATACATACATATTAATATGATTATTTTTATTATGAATAATCACTAACTCTAGAAACGAAATTAGTCTTTCATGTCGGGGTATTTTTAGTATAAAAGGAAAAATCAAGATATGAAAGAATAAAGGTGAAAATGAGATAAGAATAGACATATATTCTAGGAATTTCAACTTGAATTCAATGTATATGTATGAAAAAATAATTATATATATATATATATATATGTGTGTGTGTGTGTATTCTGAACTCACTAACGCCATAAACTTAACGCCTTTATCACTAGGAGTACTTTTAGTTTTATTAAAATTCAAAAAATGTAAGAATATAGGTGCAAAAAAGAGATGTCACTTACAAGGTCAATTTGCTCATTCTTGATATCTTCCAAAGATAAATTAGATGCCATGATGGTGCTAATAATTTATCAAGAGGAACCAAGAAAAGCAAAAATTGAATTTTATTCAAAACATGGAAAAGATGAGAAAGAGTGTTTTGTTGTATTTTTTATTTATTTTTTACTTTTTTTTTGGAAACTTAAAATACAACAAAACGCCTGTTTTCATCTACTTCCTTAGGTCTCCTTTTATAGATAAATTGGACTATGGTCACCTTTGAAAATGTCTATAAAAAAGGAGAAACCTTAAAAATACTTTTCTCCCTTAAAAGATGGATCATCTTACAATAATTATTTTTATTTTTTAAAAGAATTAGTTATTATTTTCTTGGCAATTTTGTTTTGTGCTTCCTTCTCCTTGTAAATTTCCTTGTTTTTTTTGTTAGAAAAGTTTGACTTAATTTCTTCCACTACAAAATAACTTCTACTAGACTATTGTTTTTGGTATGATATTGAAGTACCTAGAAGAAGAGGAAATTGTTATAATTTAGATTTTGATTTGTTATACATACTACATAAACCTTACTTAGTGGGCCATTTCTCACTTACTTACTACTTACTCATTAATACCGACTTGAAGAAGAAAAGCAGTCTCATACCTTTTCTATTTCCTTCCCTGTGATTGATTGTTTTTTCTTCCTTTTTCCATACTTCAGGAGGAAGAGATCATCGGGTTCAACTTTTGCATTGTCATTGACTTGGATCACATCATACATAATTAATTTTAATATATTATAAAAAGCAATTTGTCGTATTTTTTAGATTAGTTTCACTTATTATGGACGGTTACTAGCACTCAGCTTGTATCTTTTGGTGTCAAAGGGCAAGTTTCTTTCTGGTCTTACCACACACTATTGTGTACGCTTGTCTATCAACCTACTTTGTCAAGAGGTGGTAGGAGCGCAAGAAACCTCTCTATCTGAATTAGAAGTCTAAAAACAAAAAGGGTTCTAGGCAAGAAGGATTATAGTAGGTTGATTGGAAGACTAATGATTTAGATAATCCACCTCAGATGATATAAGATTCAAGTACATTTGTTTGGTTAGTTTATCTTTCTCTTACTTTTTCTTTGTTTTAAAATTGTACAAGCAAATAAGTTGCAAGCTTCTTTATTTTCTTTATAATTTCTTAGTCTTTACTTTTTTTATTGAAATACTTTCTTCATTTTTAGGGTCTTTCCATCAACTCTCATCTATTGATTTGTAGATCATCATATCATATCATATATATATATATATATATATATATATATATATATATATATATATACCCCCGAACTATCGTAAATGGTATATATGAAGCTACCCTTCGTCATACTTTTGGGGCATTGGTGCCCCTGCCGTCCCAAAACTAGAGCATATATATACCCTTTATACTAACGGACATACACGTGTCATAATCTTATCTGCCGACCGACATTTATTAAATATTGGATCGACAAATAAGATTGTGTCACGTGTCCCTATTTAGTCTTCCGTTAGAGTGAAGGGCATATATGCTCTAGTTTTTAGATGGCAGAGACATCAATGTCTCAAAAATATGACGGAGGATATCTACATACCATTTACGATAGTTCGGGGATATATTTGTCCTTTTTCCCTATTATAAATGCAGTAATAGTACTTAAATGCTTTAGATGCTCAACTCAATGACTTCAGTGAGGGGTCTTACGTTTCGTCCTCCATTATTTCCATAACACTTCTCCCATTAAATAATAATCACCTTTTGCTCTGATTTTATTTTTGAAAAATTGTTCATAGAATTAATCACACAATGCTCTTATTGATTACAATTTAGAGATTAAACATTTTGTATCTTGATTTAAACAAAAAAATTTGAGTTTGTCTTCTTCACATTCGTGACTCATATCTAATGAACTATTATGTTGCTACTCTTAATAATATCCATAAGTGTCATGCTTTGAATATTATTTAATAAATCCATCTTTTTATTTTGACCCTTACTCAAGGTTTTGTATTATTTTTTTCATCTATGTTGTTATTATTAAAGTCTTAAGAAGGATGTGTATGATGTATCTTTTCTTCTGTATTTTTTGTGTGTTCTCTTTATAAGACTTCTTAGATTTTATGTTTTATGAATTTGTGATTGTCGTAAGTCTGTATTTTTATTTGAGCTCATCATTCCAATGGATCTATAATAATTAACATGGGACACAGGAGCAATGCACGTTTCGAGAAACTATTAGAAAGAAAGATATAAGAAGGAGCAATAGATCTCATTGAAATTGAAAAAAATTGTGGAGACAACAGATTTAGTCTAGCAAAATAAAAATACATAAGATATAATGATAACTACAAGGATATAATAATAACAAGTAATTACAATTTCTTTTTATGCACAACTAGCCTTTGTTCTTCAGCCAAATGCTATAATCTTCATCCAACAAAATGCCAGCTGCAAAAATTGTCCAAACTTGTATGGAGAAAAAAAAGTTGAATTGATTTCAACTTGTTTAGACAGTGTAGTGTTGTTGAATGGTTTCAATATCTAGTCCCTTTAGCTTGACAACTGATTCAACATGTCCCTTAAGTGTGTGGAGCTCCCTCAGCCTTGCAACTTCAGCACGACGCTTAGCTTGTTCAGCAATCTCAGACAGTTCCCTGTAGTTTTTGTCATTGAATAGGCTAGCGGCTTCAGGTGTCTGGAGACCATGAAGTGTACGTTGAGCTAGAGCCCATTGTGCTTCCCTCTCACCCCTTCCATAGTCCTTCTTGGTTGTGAAGGCAGTCTAAGGTATTCAAGAAACATAAATACTAATTAGTCAAGAACACAATTCAATGAAATTTTCTTCATGTTATGGTAATTTGTTGCTTGTTTTTACCTTGTTTTGGATCATTGTGTCCCATGCCCTTCCACTCAAGCCGAAACGGATGATGAATTTAAGAACATCTTGAGGTAAGTAGGTAATAATAGTGTAGACCCAGATGACTGCTGCCCATCCCCAGCCAACTCCCTTGATCCTGGCAAATTCCCAGTCTGCATATACAGCAAGCACTGTTGCAACCTGAAAGTTAAGAATTTGGTTAGCTGTATATTCAAATGGAGTACTTTTAAGTCGAATAATTCATTCAGGTTGTCGTATTACAATACTCACCAATTGGGCTGCAAAGAAAGCTCCTACGAGCATAAGGCCAGGGCGTTCCACAAAGGACCAGCTTCGTGACCTGGTCACGAAGATGAGAGCTTGACTGATGATACTCACTTGAAGGTAAAGTGCAGTTGTAAGCTCATTTGGAGAGTTTCTGATTGATCGAACATGGAAGTTTTCCTGCACGAATATGACGATTTTGTTAGTGTAATTTCATGTTGTGTTTCATGTTAGGGGGAGAATCTTAATACTTACAGTGAAGAAATCAGTGTCAGCTGCAAGGTAGAAGAACACAACAGTCATGATAGCTTGGTAGGTTCCGAGGACAACACCAGTGGCAAAGATTTCATTGAGTTTCCATGAGTCGGGCAATGGAGATGGCACAACCCTGTCCTTAGAGATGGTCATGATGGTTCCATCATTGAGTATGGCAATGATAAGGACCATGAAGGGAGAGAAGTCGAACTTCCAGATAAGGGCAATGAGCATGAATCCCATCACTACACGGATTGTGATGGAAACAGCATAGATTGTGTAGTTCTTCATCCTCTGGAAGATGGCTCTGCTTGTTAGCACAGCACTCACGATGACACTAAGACCTGGCTCAGTCAAGACGATATCAGATGCACTTCTAGCAGCATCTGTTGCATCATCCACAGCAATACCAATGTCTGCCTTCTTGAGTGCTGGTGCATCATTCACTCCGTCTCCCGTCATACCACAAATGTGTTTCATATCTTGGAGCTTCTTCACGATCTCGTATTTATGCTCTGGGAAGACTCCAGCAAAACCATCTGCCTTTTCAATTAGCTCATCGACGGGAATTGAAGCAATGGCTGCATCTTTGTGCTCTCCAAGAAGAGCTGAAGAAGGATACATGTTGGTTCCCATGCCAAGCCTACGTGCAGTTTCCTTACCAATGGCAAGCTGGTCACCAGTGATCATCTTAACTGCAACACCAAGTTCAAGAGCTTTGCGGATAGTTTCAGCACTGTCGTGCCTTGGAGGATCAAAAAGGGGCAAAAGGCCAACAAACTCCCAAGGTGAGCCTTCACTTTCCTTGCTCTTCTCAGGTACAGTCTGCATAAATACCATGTAATCATGCTTAATTCATGACGATTAATGATATGATGCATTGATCCAAACAAAGTAAGTTGCTTACCTGTCTTGCCAACCCCAAAGAGCGAAGGCCACGGTTGGCATAGTCGTCAATGATTTCTAAGGCCTTCTTCTTGATATCTCCCTTGAGCTCACAAAGTTCAATAATCTGGCGAAAATGACATGTGAGATGACAAACACTAAAAATACATGAAGCAACGGAAATATAAAAACACTATCTTACTTGCTCGGGAGCTCCTTTGCTAGCCCTGTGCCAGTTTCCTTTGTCATCGATATAGGTTATGGCTGTACGTTTTTCAACTGGATTGAAAGGCAAGAAGTGAACCTCTTGGATGCCTGCTCTTGCCTGCAATGTGACAAAAAAACATGCATGGTCAATTTACAACTTCTTGGAATAGTGAAAAATGTACTAATGTCACCTAATAATAAAACATATTACCTCCTTAGGATCACCCAACATGTTAACGATACAAGTATCAATAGCATCCTGGTTTTCGATCCTGGAAGCCCTAGCACCAAGCAACATAACGGTATCCTTGTCTGCATCTTTAGGGAAAACCTATAACCACCATTACACATTGATAACGCTTTAGCCTTCATGTTTCCTCAGAAAAAAAACTATAATAATCATATGATAAAAAGGAATAACGTTGTCCTGATTACCAACCTCAATTAAGTTTTTGTCAACAGTGAGCTTGTTGAGGGTGAGGGTACCGGTTTTGTCACTGCAAAGAACATCCATACCAGCCATTTCCTCAATAGCAGTCATCCTCTTAGTTATGGCACCTTGTTGTGCAAGCCTATGAGATCCAATAGCCATGGTCACAGATAAGACTGTTGGCATGGCAATTGGGATACCTCCGATGAGCAACACAAGCAAGTTGTCGATTCCATCTCTGTAGTTACGCTTCTGAATTGGGTACATCACTACTATCTCAATCACCATTCCCACAGCAATAGAGCAGATACAGAAGTTTCCAATGGCAGTCAACACCTATAATTGATCATCATCACAATCCAAATCCAAAATTTAGAAATCCCCAAATCACACCAACTAATTTTTTAAATTTATATCACAAAACACATTTCTTTTACCTTCTGGAAATGGCCAACATTGTTTGTGCTGTCTACAAGATGAGCAGCCTTTCCAAAGAAAGTGTGAACACCAGTGGCAATGACAACTGCCTCAATTTCGCCTTGCTTGACAGTGGAACCAGAGAAAACCTCAGCGCCAGGGAACTTTGTCGCGGGCAATGACTCACCGGTGAGTGCAGCCTGATCAACCTTTAAAGGATCACCCTCGAGAAGACGAGCATCAGCTGGGACGATATCTCCCAACTTAATGCTAATTATATCACCTGGAACCAAGATTGAGGCCTCCTCTTCTGACCATTTTCCATCTCTCAAAATCTGGAATCAATAACATTACATATAAAATTAATAAATACACTGAGGACTAAAACGGCTGATGAAATTTAAATCCTGCATTCGACACTGGATAAGTAATTATGGGGTACCTTAGTTTTAGGAGCAAGATTAGCCATAAGGGCAGATGCAGCATTTCCTGCACTGTTTTCTTCAATAAAACTGATGGTAGAGTTTATAATGAGCAATACTGTGATACCAACGAAATCTGGCCAATCTGGTGGCTTTCCCTGCAATTTGTTTTTCAAGATTTCACCATTACTAAATCAAACAATATTTGGCCAAGTCAACATGAAAATAAAGTTGTGTTGGAGCAGGAAGTACTCATCTATCTATAATCAGAGGCTTGTGTTCGAGCCTTAGGTGTGAAAGTCCTTTTTACCCCAATGTGGACTTTCGGATTTAGTCTCGCCCCAATATGGGAAGTCGTCTTTATTAGAGAGTGTTTACCCCTCTATGTGAGAATTTTCGACATGAATCAGGATATGGTCCGATCCCGATTCGGAAAGTCGTCTTTATTAAGGAGCGTAGTAACTTTTCGACACGAATCCGAATTTAGTCCCATCCTGGTATGGTAAGTCACCTTTACTAAGGAGCATTTTACCCCTTCAATGTGCGATGTTTCAATGCGAATTCGAATTTAGTCAGACTCAGTACCAGTACGCATGGTGAAAAAAATAAGTAGATATGAAAAATAAGTAAAATTTGTAATTACTCCTCCATTGGCCAACACAATAGCCATGATAGCAGCACACTCCATAACCCATGAGAGAGGATTCCACATGAACCCCAAGAACTTGAGAAGCTTGTTATCCTTCAATAAATTAAAAGCATAGGTTATAATTAATACACATTTTTAAGATTTTTATTAAAATAAAATATGATTCTTAAAAAAGAAATTACTTTTTTCTCTTCAAGTTTGTTGGGGCCAAAAATTTCAACCCTTTTTTGGCCCTCAGCAGATGACAAGCCCTCTTTGCTACATTTTAGCTGCTGGAACACTTCCTCCACTGGAATGTTTTCCTGTAACAATCATTCAATCCCACATAAAAAAATAATTTACGATCGATGTATATTACATAAATTTTTAAATTAATTATTTCGACTCGAACTATGTATATATATGTGCAAAAAAGGAAAACTAAAATATATACACATGTTCGAAGGATTTCGACTCGAATTCAATATATATGAATAGGAACATATATATTTTTTGAACTCACTAACGCCAAAAACTTAATGCCTTTATCATCAGAGTACTTTTATTTAATTATAAAAAAAATAGAAGAATAGAGGTGAAAAAAGAGATGTAACTTACAAGGTCAATTTGCTCATTCTTGATATCTTCCAAAGATAAATTAGACGCCATGATTATGTTAATAATTTATTAAGAGGAACCAAGAGTAGCAAAAATATTAAATTTATTTAACACATGGAAAAGATGACAAAGAGTGTTTTGTTATATTTTTTTTTTAATTTAATGGAGAGAGACTTGTTGGCAAAAATAAATTTGCTCTCTTGTCTCTCTCCTATGTTTTTTTGGTGTTTTTATTACTAAAAACTTTTTTTTTTACTTTTCTTGGAAACTCAAAATACTGTCTCTTTTTGGGTCTCCTTTTATAGACCATTTTTTGGTCTATGGTCACCTTTGAAAATGTCTATAGAAAAGGAGAAACCATTAAAACATTTTTCCCCTTAAAAGATGGATCATCTTACAATAATTATTATTTTTATTTTTAAAAAAAATTAGTTACTATTTTCTTGGTCATTTTGTTTTGTGCTTCTTCTCCTTGTAATTTCCTTGTTTTTTGTTGGAAAATTTTGACTTAATTTGTTCCACTACAAAATAACTACTAGAGTACTAGAATATTTTGTTTTTGGTCTGTTATTGATATACTTAGAAGAAAGGGAAATTATTATAATTTGGATTTGATTTACTATACATACTACGTAAGTAATTTTAATATATTGTAGCAGGCAATTTGTTGTATTTTTTGGACATATACGATGCTCTTTCGGAATATGGGTCACATAAGAGGAATTTAGAATTATGTCTACTTTTCATGTATATTAATCCATGAATTTTTCAGAATACGTAACTAACTCTATTTGTGCTCAAATTTTGTTGGCCCATTCGTGACGACCTAATAATGATGCACATAGTTTTCCATGGTAAAATGTCGCTTACTTTGGAGTTTATAGGTCACGCAATAAAAATTCATAATTATTCTCAATTTTTCATGTGTGGTCAATAATTTTCAAGAATGTTTGATACCCTCTATTTGATCTCAAATTTTTTTCGAATCCATTTATTGACGACCTAGTAAATAATACTCACAATTTCCTAGGGGAAGATGTCTCTCTCTTTGAGTATATGAGTCTCAAAACATGTGTATTAATCATAAATTTTTTGGAATATATGTGATCCATTCTGTTTGAGCTCAAATTTTGTATATCTATTCGTGACAACTAAGTAAATGATACTATAGTTTTAAAGGAGTAGATGTCGCTCAATTAGGGTTTATGCATAGGGATGGCAATGAGGCAGAGCGAAAGCGAAGTGGGGAGGGTTACAATGTATGTGGGTCGGGGCGGGTTGGAGCTTTTGTGGGTACTGAGCAGGGCAGGCTTAAATATATTTTTTTCAAAATTTATGTGGGGTGGAGTGGGGAAGTTGCGAGTTAGGGATAAAGAATCTTTAAATTCGTTGTTCACATATTGAATATTTATGAAATTTCTTTTGAGTGGCCAAAGAAAAAAGTATGTTGTTATTTGCATTTTAATTTTTTGTTTATTACCTCAAACGTTACTAATTCAAAGCTATCCAATATAGAAATTCGCCACGCAAATCCAGCCCCAATCTAAGACTAGCCAACATGAATCTAAATTTAATCATACTCCAATATGAATATGCTAAACACCAAATGAAAAATCAAAAAAAAAAATTAGGTTCTAATATTTAATGATTCGAATGTTGAAGAGATGGAGTAAGAACTATAATATGAATACGAAAAGACCTTTCGTCACTTTTTAAGTTACTTTGACTAAACAAACCCTAACCCTTCTTCCACCATGAAAATTTTCAACAGACAAGTCTAGTACGATCATTACTATGGAATCCAGTGCACAAATTCCAATGCTAAAAATGCATCAACAAAGCATAGTAAATCCAAAAATATTCATTCAATACATAAACTCAGCTGAATATAGCTCCAAAATATTTTCCCAAAACATCAGTAGAAAACAACTCTACTAGATTTCGTTTCAGAAACAAGCTCCTACTAAACAAAACGGTAAGTAACCAAAATCCCATAAATTTTTCAATGGAACCTTGAAGAGAACTCCAAGCCATCCACCTCAAAATCCCAACTTGGTACGCCTCCAGTGCCTGCGCTTGGCGTTGTACCTTATAGCACAAAACACAACTTCTTAGCCTCAAAATTGACACTATACAAAAAAATTACAGAGAGATAAGTCCTAGCTAGCCCCAAAATTAACACTACATACAAAAAAGAACCTAAAATTGCAAGAGGAAAGTTAATACACAACTTCTTAGCCCCAAATTAACACAACACACAAAAAGGAACCAAAAAATACAAAACCTCCTAGCCCCAAAATTAACACAATATACAAAAAGGAACCTAATGATGCAAGAGGAAAGATAATACCCAGAACTTCTTAGCCCCAAAATCCACACAATACACAAAAAACTACAAAGATAAAAGTGAATACCCAAAACTCTGTATCCCCAAAATCATCACAACATATAGAAAGGAACCTAAAATTGCAAGTTTTTTTGGTAATTATAGGGAATTTCATTACTAAGTAGGACAAAAGCACAAAAGAAACAAAAAAGCTAGACAACAGGACATAGTCTTGGTTCCTACAGTAGGTTCTTTTCACCCTTGTAGTAATTTGCCTTGCAAAGTGATCCTTGCTGATTCACACGGGCACCCTACTCCTCTGCTTCTTTTACGTGTTCAGCTAGGAATGTAGTTAAGTAGAGACAGGACACTAGCTAGCTTAGGCTTCAGACAAGCTCAAAAGTGCACATCATGAATCACTAGTTTCATAATTGCAGCTGACATACATTTTCTTCCCTCAGAATACAACTTGATTCCTTCCATGCCATACATTGTATATGCATCCAGACAGGGCCATAAGATAATACAGCTTTGCTCTATTGGTTTTAAAATAAGTTCCCGTCCTAGCACATTCCTCTGACCAGCTTCAACTAGGTCTTGTAATATATCTTCGCAATTCAACTTGTTGGAAAAACAGGTGTCCAGTAGTTTAATCAGCCATTTACATAGTGGGCACAAAGATTCTACATCTACTCCCCAGTTTGGCAATGTCTATAGTGTAAAGACACAATACACACAACTTCATAGCCCCAAAATAAACACAAACAGAAAGAGGAACCTAACAATGCAAGAGAAGAGGTTTTTTTTTTTTGAGAAAGAAGAGAAGAGGTTTTTTGGTAATGGACCAACCTATGACCGAAGAAAAATGAGATCGTCACTCCTTTTCTCATACACCGGCATAGGAGATATTATTACCAAACAAGATAATCAAGCACGTTGGGAAAAAACTAGACAACTAGACATAGTCCCAGTTCCTACATAGGCGCACCTACTCCACCACTACTTTTGCATGTTTGGCTAGGGTAGTAGATAAGTAAAGACAGGATAGTAGCTACCTTAGGCTTCAGACAAGCTCAAACTACACATCTTGGATCACTAGTTTCACAATTGCAGCCAAAGCACGTTTCTTCCCTTGGAATACAACTTGATTCCATTCACATTCCAGACATGGTATATGCATCTAGACAGGGTCATACAGTAGATAATAGAGCTTGTTCTATTGGTTTTATAATGATTATCCATCCTAGCATATTCCTCTGGGCATTCCCAACTAAGACTTATAATACCTTGCAAATTCAACAACTTACACCAAATATCCTCTGCTATAGTGCAGAAAGGTACCACATCTACTCCCCAATTGAACAATCTGTTTTTTAGTGTAAAGACACATTACACACAACTTCTTAGTCCCAAATTAACACAATACACAACAAAAGAACCAAAAAAAAAAAAAGAGAACCACAACTACTTATCCCCAAAATTAACACAATACACAAAAAAGTAATCAAAAATTACAAAGAGAAAAGTGAAATACCTGATGGTGTTATCGGTCCTCATGCGGATCCAGTAAGGAATAGGCCTGTTCTGCCTCTGCTTCTTCGCCAGCTTCTTCTTGATCATGAAAGACTTGTGGGACGGCTACACACACCAAAAAAAAAGGTAAATTCAACAGAAATTGTGAGGTACTGTGTTCATAATGAGGGTTAATGGGGAAAGGAATCTCACCATTTTCACGATCGGCGGCGACTTCCTCCTCGGAGATGACTGCTGCTGCTGAAGTTGGAATTTGAGGATTTGTAGAAACCCTAGTTTGCGGTTTTTTATAGTGGGTTTCTCGGAGGTGTTATAGGCCAAAATGAAGCCCAATTAGTGAAAAGAGTTTGGGTCAGATATATGTAAAGCCCAATAAGGATGTTTATGAGAAGGCTCCAAGCCCATTATGGAGTTTCTTTTAAAAAAATATAATTACACCGTCTGCTTAATCTCGAGATAAAATACATAATTAGTTTGTGTTGTGTTTGGTGGTTCTCCTTCTGCCCATTAAGGTTACCACATATTATTTATACCTTTTTTTTTATTGCTAATGATTGTGGCAACATAAAACTAGCGTGAGGAATTAGGTAGAAATCGATTTTGTGACTAACGTTTTCGCTCTCTTCTGTGATAGTGTCTTCTGCATATAATATATTGTTATGCTAGATTTCTATAAAATATATATTGTTATGCTAGCTTTCTTGGAAATATTATCTTTCACTGATTTAGACGGTATTCAAACCCTTTTAAAAACAATTGTTGATTTCCTCTTATTTGTTGCATTTTTCTTTAACAACTTCTTGTGAACTTAGTGTGGTATGATATTTAAGGTGGATCTTTGTTATACTTGTGATTTATGCATTTACGAAGTTTTGACATTTTGAGGTTAATTATGTGCTTCTAATATATATATGTTAATTATTATTTTTAATTACTCATAGTGATGTATACATTATTATTTTGAGTTATTACTAGATAAGTCTCAATGAGGTATTATTGCGGACCATAATGATATATGTTTTATAGTTTATGAACCGAACATGATAAGTTGCTAATGTAATAGTATGTGATAGAAAGTATACCGTGGCCCAATATTTTTAGTAAAGCCCATAATCAACATTTGATTAAAAATATATCTCACTCGTACATTATTTGATAAGCGTACCACATTAAGTCTAAATTAACTTCTATAAATTAGTTTCCTCTTTGCCAATTAGGGTTAATACATATTCTCTATATCTTTCATCATTGAACACCACAGTAACATAAGGCTAGGAGCAGGAGGTAGAAATCAAGTTTGCGGCTAACACTCCCGCTCTCTTCTTTGCGACTTCCGCATCAGATGTGTTCTTTAAACATCTTTTTGTAAGATTATCATATCAAAATCATGACGTGAATTAAAGTTGAAGTTTACAAAACGGACCTATATATAAGGACTAATCTAAGCTAAAAAAAGCTATCAGTTTTTCATACAATACTTGTCACCCCGAGTAAGAAGATTTTGTTATAATTTTGAAAACACTGCAAAACTAAATGCGGACTTGCTTCAGGATATTTGCTCACACCTCCAAAGGTATTTCTTTAATTATATTTTGAGCACACTGTCTATTTATGTTTCTTATCTATTAATCATATAATTAATAAAGATTATTGAATGCTTTTACTATGTGATACTTTTTAACACAATATATATACAATTGAGTAATTAAGTTACCTCTTTTACAAACCCTATTTTCAACACTTAGAAGTTTTTTAGAGTGCTCTTGAGTAAAATACAAAATTTAAGTAGCTAGAAATGTTAATATTTGTATTTAATGAAAGAGAATATACAAAAAACTTCATCAAAGGATAACATTACAGTGTCTGTTAGGTAGCGCTCCTCCTTGTCTCTAAAATCTAAAAAAATATAGAATATTTTAAAGTCTCTCTTCATGATTATAGATTTTAAAGGTTATAGAGCAATTTGTGATATTTCGTGTTGTCAGTTGAGTTTCGCTCAGGCAATTTACTATCAGGCTTTCAAGTGGATTTTGATCTCTTGTTTGCTTTTGTGAGTCTCAATGAGCAAGAGCTTGGGACTTTGTCCTTACTTTTTTTCTATGCACCCTTCTTATTTATTGTCGTTAGTTCGCACAACAGGAGAATCAAGATAATTTTTTTTTTGACATTTATCTCCTTATTTTTTTCACTTAAACTGTTTATTACCATACTTTAAGTAGATCTTGGCCTTTTATTTGAGTCTTGATAAACAACAATTTGAGATTTATCCTTATTTTCTTGCAAGTTTTTTCACTATCACTCCCTCTTATTTATTGTCGTCAGTTCACAAAATATGAAAATCAAGACAAGAAAATCCAATACTTATTTTCTTGATTATTTTTTGCCTAGGTAATTTGGTTCAACATCCTCAACTTCAACATCCCCACCCATACTAATAATTCTGTACACATATTTCAATAATTTAGTTTTCCTTATGTAATCCTCACACATTTTTAAGCTAATGAAATTACATTTGAGACTCGTAATTATCTCAAATCAAACATATTACACGGTTCTATTAAAAAGTAAATATAATCCAACGTAAAAGGAAGTCAAAGCTTCGATAACTTTAGAGAATGAATACTCTCATATTTTATTTTATTTTTAAAAACTTCTAGTAATTAAATAGTGTTTTTTTTAATATTAAATCTTAAGTAATGTGAAATTAAATCAATTATACCAGTAAATTCGAACACCAAATAAGTAAACAAAACAAAAAGAGAAAAAACAATCCTTGTTACCCCTTGGATACATTTTTTGTAACCATAATTTTTATTTTTCACACTACATAATTTATACTTTTTGCTTTTTTGATTATCCTAGTTGGCAGTCCTGACTCCCACGCCCTCTCTACCCCCCCACCCTCACTCTCTAAACGTTATATATATTGAACATTCTCTGCACGCCAAAAACCTCTCAAACCCCTCTCTGCTGAGCTTTCAAAATCGTACCAAAATGCCTCGAGCATCAAAGAGAAAATCTGACACACCCAAATCTACTTCTGCCAAATCTGCTCGCTCGGAATCTATCACCACTGGTAAATTCTTGTTTTTTTTGGTCCTTTGTGATGTATCTTATCTATGTGATTAGTTGTTGGTACTGTTCATTTGAAGTTCTTTTTTTTAAAAAAAATTGGGTTTGTTTCTTAGTGATGAAGGGTATTTTAAAGTTCAATTTTTTTTTAATGAGTTGGGGCTTATCTAGATTCTGGAGCCTTGAAATGGGGATTTGGGTATCAAGAAAAAGAAAAAAATTACTATTTTGCACTTAAAGGGTGTGGCTTAACTGGTAATGAAGTGTGTAAAAATCATGAGGTATCAAGTTTTAATCGTTTTGAATTAGTTGAGATGCGTGCAAGCTAGTCTGGATGCCACTTGTATTATTAAAAGAAATGAATAAAGTGTTTTTGGGTTGTTGCATTGATAGCAAGTGGGTGTTTTTCTATATTGGAAAACAAGATGAGTGGGATGGATGTAGAGGAGGCATGCAAGGGTGTGGTCTAGTGGTCAATGAAGTGGGTGAGAACTATGGGGTTTTGAGGTTCAAATCTCAGAGACAAAAACAATTTCTTTACATCTGTCTTAGGCTTTGGTGGATAGAGTTATCTAGTACATGTATTTTCATCGTGCATTTATAATCAAGTGGGTGATTATGGATATTGGAATGAAATGGGTCTGAATGGAGTGGAATGGATATAGAGGATTGATAGAGCTGAGTTTGGAATTTGAGTCTTAGTTGAATAATTGATTATATTAAGGGAGGCGTTTAATTTTTTTGCTGATCTTAGATAAGTATGTGCCTCATCATGTATACTCTGATTGTAATTTCAAAAGGAAGCATAAGATTCAACCTGCATTGTTTTTCTTAATCCCTAGTTTGAATACATCTCGAAATTAGGTAAATTAAAATGTTCTAGGACACAATGCAGATACATACTCTTTTATTCGAGTTTTTGTAGCTTGTTTGAGATTAATGATATCGAAAATTCCATGTGAACACCAGAATCAACTGCCATACCATTGTTGCATTATGTTTTTTAGACTGGATACAGTTATAGAAGAAAATATATTTGGCAGTCGAGTCTGAATTCTGGTCTTCACATGGAATTGCTGTAAGAAGCTAATGAACTATAAGTAAACTGCCTTTTCTCAAATAAGGCATGTAAAGGTGATTTATTTACTGTGGATACTTTTAGTGTTATGCATTGTTTTCTGATAATTGTTCTAACTTAGAGGCGGAGCCAGAATTTGTGAGTTTATGGGCACTGAAATCCAATAAAGGCAGCTTACTCGATTTTGCTTAGATTATTTATTAAGTATTAAGTGAATGTCTTAACACAACTATAGGAGTTTGGCCAAAGCAACTAGGTTCCACCAAACCTGTAACTTTCTCTTTAGCTCTGCCTATGTCCTAACTCTATATTTGAAGTGATAAATTTATCATGCTTCAGCTTCAGTAGTCTCAAATTGTTTCTGTTTTGGTTCTCCCACCATAAAAATCTTGTCTATCTTAATTTGCAAGTTTTGATCCAACTTCTGCTCATCTTTTTATGAAATTTTATTAACAATGTTGAAGACCATGGTATGTGGTGTTTCGACTTTAAATAAGGTTTCTTTTTCCATGAAATATATTTCCTCTAGCTGGATGTTTGCAATTTTCTTTTTCCTTTTATTATCTCTTCTTTATGGTCAACGTGTTACAGTTATATATTATTCGTTGTTCTATTCAGCTTCAGGCAAGACTACGAAGTTTGGGTTGTCTGTCGATAATCTTTTTCAGAAGTATGCCAATAAGCTGCTAGGCATGATCGAGTGAGTTCCTTTTTTCAATAGCTTATCTATTGTTCCTATGTTTCTTTTCATGAACTTTGTGATTAAAGGGTATATATAGAGCAACTCCACAATTTATTTTCCCAAGTTTTTCTACTTTAGCAAACTAAGTTGCATCTATGCTGATTGTTTTGATCCATGATTTACCTAGATGAACAGTGGATATATGATGATCTCCGGGGTCATAAACATGGTTAACATTGTCTTCCTTCTGTGCATATATCTTCGGTAGCTGCAGGAGTTGTTTGTTTCTTCTGCTACTGCAAAAGTTGAGTGAATGTCAATGTCCATATGTTTCATGTGAATGGGTTATTATCTAGCATAGAATTACTTATATAAAACAAATACTAACATTAAACTATAATGGAAGTCACTATGTGTTTTACTATTTGTTGCTCTGATTGGATCATATATATCACTGAGGGGAATTCTACGAGCAGGAAAGGGTTTGGTGGTCTCAATTCTTTAATACTTTGGATTTTATAAGGGTTTCTACCAAGTAGCTATACCATTTATTTCCATGCTAAAGGTCATTGCTATCAATACTAATGCTTAAAAGAACTGATTTGACGGAAGCGATAGCTAAAAATTACGTCATTCTTAGGATTTTATCTGGCAGTAGCTTGTTTTGATTCGTAATTTTGTGAAACCGAGCTTGCCTAAAATAAATGTGCTTGATTAGCAACATTAATATGGTCTGCTAGCATCAAGTAGTTGTTGGTCCTGTCAACTAGGCATATTAGCTTACTGTAAAACCTCATAGTTCCTTTGAATATCGGAATTACCTCTTATTATTTCCTTCTTTCAGTACAAGTACATTTTGATAAATTTTTAGTTTTAGAATATCTCAAAATTTAATAACACGCTGTAAACAATGCCGACTTAAAGAGAAAAGGTTTCAGTAAAATTACAGTAATTCATCAAGTAGGTCTTTCCTTCTATTGAAATGTCAGTATAATTTTTTAGAGTTCTAATTCTTTAATCCTAACATTGAACTGAGATGTGATAACTTTATGAATGAAGTTCTCAACAATTGATGCAATTAAGGTATCAGAGGGAGTCATCACTATCTTTCTATTAGTGTTTGAAAGTAAAGGATTTTGGAATCTTCGTTAAGTTTCTGTTTGTTTTTGTTTGCACAGTCCAGAGGGGATTGAGGCACTATGCTCAGATCTTGGAGTAGACCATACAAATGTCAAAATTTTGATGCTCGCTTGGTAAGCCATTTGCTGTCAATATGTGTCTATGTGATCAATAATTTATTTTTGAGGAAATGTTGTGTTTCTGTAATCTATATAACTTACTATTCACATGGATCAGGAAATTGAAAGCTGAAAAGCAGGGATATTTTACTCAGGTAAGATACTGCTATTTATTTGTTCAGTTTCCTCTTGAGTATAAACTAGGGGTTGCCAAATTAACCCATAAGAACATGATCCACACAACCCGTTCAAGTTTGGGCTGATCATTGACCCTGTCATTTATTAGCTCAACCCATTTCAAGCTATCTAAAAATTGAGTTGATATTGTAGCCCAAATTGACACATAAAAATCTCGCCAAAATATTTTCAAAAAGATATTTTTTATTTGATATGATATGTACAGCCGCAATAAAGGAGAAAATAGTGTTATTATGCACTTAAAAAGTTATAAAAGAACAAACAATGAAATTAGAACCTAGTAAGACTTGGGCAGCTTGGGATATGACCCATTTTTAGCACAAGTAATTTTTGGGCGGGTAATCCATCCCAACCCACCCATTTTGACACCCCTAGAATAAGACATTTCAATGTGTTTCTCTTTTGTGATGTATTCACATGGATGATGTATCGTTGGAATTGTCTGGTGGTTGGTCCTTTTTTGATTGTCAGTGTTTTGCTTGTTCTTTCTGTTGATACAACTACATTCTCATTCGAGTTGCCTTTAGCATTTACTCTTGTATCAATATAGTGCATTTTTCCTCTGTGACTAATTTAGTTCCTCTGTGTTGGGAAATCTTTTCTAATTGTCAGGATGAATGGAGAAAAGGTTTAAAAGATCTCCAGGTTGATACGATTAACAAATTGAAAAAATCCCTGCCAAAATTGGAAGCAGAGGTATGTTGTTGTCAGCTCTTTGGTTAACTTATGTGGGATAATTTTGCAAGATTCTAATGCTCATGTAGCTGACCTTGGATCATTTACATATTCAGGTTATGATGCCTGAAAATTTTGAGGATTTTTATTCCTACGCTTTTCGTTACTGCCTTACTGGTAAACTTCTCTTTGATAAACAAATATGTAGCCTAGTAGGTTTCATATTTTTTTCGTTTGTCGCATTAATCTCTATTAAGCTAATACATTTACTAACATGTGCCTGGTTTGTCTTTCTCAGAGGATAAGCAGAAGTGTGTGGACATCGAGAGCATTTGTCTACTGATTGATCTTGTTCTGGGGCCCCAATTCCGGGCTCAGGTTGACTCATTTAGTGAGTTTCTCAAGGTAGGTACTCACTTACATGTTCTGAATATCTTTTGGCATCACATATGCATAGTTTATGATATAATTGCCCGAAGGACCCTAGTGTTTAGGCTTTTAAACTGTTAGGAAAATTAAGTTACAACAATGATGTTAGTTTTTAATTTTTTATGTCTTATTAATTTGACAGCACTGATTCTCTGTCTTTTCCTTCATACTAGAATCAGACTGATTATAAGGTGATCAACATGGATCAATGGATGAATTTTCTTCGATTTTGCCAAGAGGTAAACTATTTATGTTATATAATTCCTTCTAGCTTAGAAGGAAATGTGGTTCATGAGAGCTCATATAGCCAACACCAACTTAAAATATGTTCCATGTCTGCCTCTCTTTTCCTATTTTCGTTCGGATTCTCCTTTCCATTTTCTAGTTTACATTTTTTATTTGGCTGTCAATGACCTAAGGCACTATATAAACACCAATCTCAAACTATGTAATTCAGGGTGATATGATTAGACGAATGGGACCAAATTCAAACTTATGCCAAACATTGAGGACCATACAAATAATTTTGTTCTATATTGCCCACTTCTCACTTACCGAGTATTAAGCAAATGCTAATCTAGCAGAACAAACGATTTCACTTTACCTTTCTGGATCCTGCTTCTTTTGTTTCTATCAACTACTTTTCGCACTATGATCAGATGCATACAGGAGCACCAGTAGTGGTACCTTTTGGTAAAGGGGGTTCAATTGAATCCCCTTAGCCGAAAAATTGTGCTGTGGAGGAAGGGTAGAAATGATAATTTTATTGTATTGGATCCCCTTGACATAGGTTCCTATCTTTAGCTGCAACATTTTTCATTTTATTGAATCTCTTTACTAATTGATTTCTCAAGTAATCTTTAAAATTTTAATTTTGTCATAAATCTAAATTCTAATAGGTGGTCATTCTTTTGTATTTTTGCAGGTTAGCTTTCCAGACCTTGAAAACTATGATCTCGACCAAGCATGGCCTGTGATTTTGGATAATTTTGTTGAGTGGATGAGAGAAAAACAGAACTGATCTCCGCGTGTTGAGTTCTTGTAAATGCTAACGAAAAGAATTTGAAGTGCATGCACGATTCATGACAGCTGCACCATTCAGTGTGAAGCTGGTCTTCTTTCTGCTACAGAACTACAAGCCTGAGGAGGGTTCAACACATTTGTGTCGAGGGGGATATACTAAGTTTTCTTCCTTGAAGAATGCTTGTAGGAACCTTTTTGATTTTTCGTTTTAGTTACAAACGAAATGTATTCTGCTATTTTTTTAAATTAATATTTTTGTCAACTTCTTGATTTTGGAATTTCACTAGTTAGTGATATGGATCATTTGATCCTTATATGGTAGTCATACATGTGAATGGAGGTAAAAAAAAACAATATGTTGAAGTGAAACTAAATGTGGTTTATCTATTACACTTTGCTTCTGAGACAAAATCTTCCAATATTTCAAATTCAGCACATATAGAATTGTTACATGCATTGAAGGTTTATTCGAGACAACCTCTCTATCTTTACAAGGTAGGGGTAAAAAGTTGCATACACGCCATTTTCTCTAGATCCTATGTGTGGGATTAAACTGAGTGTGTTGTTGTTGAGCACATATGGTCTTAAACTATGTTAACCCTTGTATGAGGCTATAGCTTCATCTCCTCCTCCCTTCCCTCTTTTCTATATGAAAATGAGAAGAAGAAGATGAGCAAAGAGAAAATTGTCAATTCTTTTATCGATTTGACTAATTTATATTTGTGTCATCATGCAATATAATTAAGGATGGAGAGATTTTATGCATCCCACTGTGTCTCGTGATGCTAATAAGTTCATAACTAATCTCTACTTAGATTTGATTTGTGGTATAGTTGATTTGAGTGATTGTTTCAATTTACATTCGTATTGTGCAATAAAATTCATTAAAGGAGGAAACACTCTTTAGCTATCAGATTTAATCTCCGTTTCATAGCTAAAATCTGAGATCTCTAGTTAAGAACATAGAAATTTGAGAGATCTTATGCATCACAATATATCCCATGATGCTATGTTTGTAACTAATCTCAACTAGTTTTGATTTGCGATATAATTGATTATGTGTTTAGTTTAAGAAGGAAATGTAAAATAAATAAATTAGTGCCCCAATTCATAGTATTCATCTCATTTTGTGAGAAGAACTATGTCATATCATCATACTAAATAAACAACAATAATAAATAGATATAGATTGAAGTTGATTTATATATTTATTTGAGCCTCATAAAAGTACAATGATAATTAAAAAGTAATAAAAACAAAATATTTATTATTGATTATTGGGAGGACATGGCTTTGTGCAATAGCAAATGGAGTTGCTACACTCTCCAAATTGAAAGCCCTCACTTTGGCAGGCACTTGTACACTTTGCCTGTTCTACACATGGTCCCTTGAATGTTTTGCTTTGCTCTTGACAAATATTTGTCTCTGTCATAATAACAAAAAAATAAAAAAATATAAGAATTTAAATAAAATTAAAATAAAATAAAAATAAATAAAAGAGTATAATAAATTTTGATTAATTCAGATTCATGCCGCGTAAGGTTCATAATTAGATTCAAGATCTCTAACTAAAAATGAAAGAGATCTGATGCATCTGACCATATATATCTCAACTAGTTTTATTTTTTTGGCCCATATGATATTCCGTAATTGTATTGTGGTTTAACTAAATCCGAATTAACATGTTTTTTCTATTTTTAAAATCTCAAACTTGATACATCTAGGTAAAGATGATGAGATCATGAATAACCTCACCAGTGGCGTAGCTAGGATTTTTAATAAGGGGGTTCAAAATATGAAAAAGTAAACATACAAATTAATCGAAGGGGTTTGACATCTACTTTATATACATAAAAAATAATTTTAACCATATATAAATAGTAAGATTTTTCGCCAAAGGGGGTTCGGGTGAACCCCTGACTGTTGGCTCCGCCCCTGAACCTCACCACAACTCATGTTAATGATTTGCGATATAGTTGATTGAGTGATTATTTGAAAAGAGGATATATAAAAAAAATTTAAAAATATTTTTTAATCTCTTAACATTCTTGATTGGTAAAGAAAGAATAAAGCAAAGAGATTATATACCTGCATTGCCCATGAAAAATAGCACAAGAAGAAGCACAACTTTAAACAAAGACAAAGAGGCTGCCATCTTCTTCTTTTTTTTGTTATAATTTCTTCAAAAATGTATTTTTGATAATGAAAATGACGAAGCACCACGCTTATCTTATATAGTATTAAGAAATGATTAACTTACTATTTTCTTTAATGAGATTACCTTTAATTATTTGGATAGTAAATCTTTTTATGTTTAATGACTTTCCATCCCTTTAATTATGATCTAGATACTATTACTATTTAATGTAATTTCTTTCATATTTTTTTTTGGAGGTGTTAATTTTTTAAAAAAAAACATATATACAAATTTGAACACATCCTCCTTAAACTATTTTCAACAAGTCTAAATAATATCACTTTAATTTTTTCATGAGACTGAGATTTGAAACCCAAAACATATAATAAAGCTAGAGATAAGTCTCATCTTACTAGAATATTTCAACAATCACTTTCTTGTTCATTTCTAAAAATTCCTTAAAGAACAATTCGGTTTGAGTTTGTTTTTCACTAAAAAGAAATCAAATCAATTAAGTCATAATTTCAAATGCTGGAATCAAACCAAATCAATCAATTTGATCTTTCAAATATTTTTGGAACCAAAATCAAATCAATTAAGTGTATGATAATTAATATACTTTTAAACACATATTTATATTCCAACACTATTAAATCAATTATTCTTTAAGAAAAAAAGGAAATATATATAATCAAGTTATATATGTAGCTTTCTTCAAGAAATCGTTTGCATTTTCCAAGAATTTAGCCAACATGATTCTTTTTATATTAAAAAAAATAAAGATTTAATTGTGATATACCAAAATATCTTGATGACATTTGAATTAAACAATGATGATTAATTAAAAAATTACAAGTTATTTTGAACATGAAATAAACTATTAGCATTATCAAAATAAAAATTACAAAATCAAACTAGAAAGTAAAAGCAAAAGATTCGATTTTATTACAAAAACAACAAACACCTAGATTACAAACCAAGAGTGCAAAAGATACATATGTAACTATTATCTTCCTTCTTACATATAATAACCACATTGTTGGTCCAACAATGTTTTGTTTGCTAAATTGGAGAAATTAATATACTTGACTATGATAAAGATGGCCTAGGAAGATCCAAAATCAAATTAGAATAATTAACTTTTGTGTGACATAGATATATATGTCGATAAAATCAGAGGTTTTAACAATATTGTTACATCAATGTAATTATATTATAAGAAAATATGACAAACAAATAATGTAGTTACCAAAGATAGCACATTGGCAATTTCTGTTTTTATTTTCTCATCTTGTTTTAGTATATAGTATACAGTTTATATAAATCTCATTTTCATGTATGTTATTGTTGGTGAAGGACTAGTGACTAACAAAATATGGCAGCAGTAGTACAAATGTTGTCAACTTTTTTGGTTGTTGTTGCTAATTTTCATGTGTGTTTTGCATCAACTCATATTTCTGTGTCTCCTTCACCATTTTCTGGTACAATGCCACCTCTACTCCCGTCGCGCTTTGCACCATCTGAGATGCCTCCTTTTCCAGGCACTAGTCCACCGTCTGTTCCCACCTTTCCAATACCATCTGTGCCTCCATTTCCAGGCGCTAGTCCACGATCTGCACCTTTTGTTCCAGGTTCACCGTCCTTGCCTCTAATTCCAGGCTTACCTATACCATTTGTGCCTTCAATTCCAGGATCACCGTCCTCGCCTCTAATTCCAGGCTTACCTATACCATCACTGCCTCCATTTCCAGGATCGCCTAGTTCACCGTCCTCGCCTCTATTTCCAGGCTTACCTATACCATTTGTGCCTTCAATTCCAGGATCACCGTCCTCGCCTCTAATTCCAGGCTTACCTATACCATCACTGCCTCCATTTCCAGGATCGCCTAGTTCACCGTCCTCGCCTCTATTTCCAGGCTTACCTATACCATTTGTGCCTTCAATTCCAGGATCGCCTAGTTCAGCATCCTCGCCTCTAATTCCAGGCTTTCCTATACCATCACAACCTCCATTTCCAAGCACTAGTCCACCTCTAGTTCCAGGATTCCCTATACCAATTGTGCCTTCATTTCCAGGATCTCCTAGTTCACCGTCCTCGCCTCTAATTCCAGGTTTGCCTATACCATCAATGCCTCCATTTCCAAGCACTAGTCCATCGTCCCTGCCTATAGTTCCAGGCTTTCCTATACCACTTGTGCCTCCATTTCCAGGCTCTCCTAGTTCACCCTCCTCGCCTCTAATTCCGGGCTTGCCTATACCTTCACTGCCTCCATTTCCAAGCACTAGTCCATCATCCCCACCTTCCATACCTATATTCCCTGTACCATCCATGCCTCCACTTCCAGCCACTAGTCCACCATCCCCGCCTTTCAATCCGATCTTCCTTGTACCATCTATGCCTCCATTTCCAGCCATTATCCCACCGTACATGCCTGTAACATCCCCCTCTATTTCACCATCCGCCCCTTCTGTTCCCTACTTTAGTCCACCCTCACCATCCAAGCCTTTATTTCCTATCTCTACTCCACCAATGATGCCTCCAGCTCCAGCTCCACTATCTATGCCTCCGGTCCCTGCCTCACTACCATATCCCGATACACCTGCTCCAGCTCCTGGACCTGCACCTCCGCTTTCTGGCATCAAAGGTGCATATTGGCCTTCATGGCTAGCAGAAAAAGCTCCTCCATCAAGCATCCCTACTGCATATTTCACCCACATTTTCTACGCATTTGCTGTGCCTGATAATACATCGTTCCAGTTGCTCGTAAGCCAAGTTGACAAGCAATCAATGATTAACTTCACATCCATCATCCATTCCCATAGCCCTGCAACAAAGGCTTTGCTATCAATAGGAGGAGATACAGGTTCTCCAGTACTCCCTAGTATGATGAGTTGCCAAGATAATCGCGCTGCATTCATCAAATCAACGATAGATGTATCCAGAAATTACGGCTTTGATGGCCTTGATCTTGATTGGGAATTCCCTATCGAGTCAGAAAACATGCTCAATCTAGCATTGCTCCTCAAAGAATGGCGCCTCGCCATCAACATAGAGTCACTAGCTTCCTCCAAACCTCCACTAATCCTGTCTGCTGCTGTTTACTTCTCCCCAAACGTTCTCTTATCGGGTACAATTTATCCCACAGAAGCTCTAAGCAACTATCTTGATTTCTTGAGCCCTATGTGCTATAACTACCAAGGTTCTTGGGACACTTCAGCAACTGGTGCTCCGGCCTTGTTATACGATAAGTCTAGCAATATTAGCACAAGCTACGGAATTTCATCCTGGAAACAAAATGGGGTTCCTTCAACAAAGTTAGTCATGGGAATTCCCTTATATGGAAATACATGGGAATTGAAGGATCCAAATGATCACGGAATCGGAGCTCCTGCAGTAGGAGTTGGTCCTGGAACTCACGGAGAAATGTCGTATGATGATATAGTAACATTCAATTCAGAAAACAATGCCTCTGTAGTATACAATAATGAAACAGTTTCAACATATTCATATTCTGGAACAAATTGGATTGGATATGACGATACGAACTCCATCAGAGCCAAGATCAAGTATGCTAAAGCTCAGGGTCTTGGTGGTTACTTTTTTTGGGCCCTTGGCTCTGACAGCAACTGGACTCTTTCAAGAACAGGTAAAATTTCTAAACTTCTTCCATTTCTAGACGTAGAGTTTAAGTTCTATGCACAGACGGTATAACTTACACAATCAGGGCACTTATAAGGTAAACTAACAAAATGGTAATTAACCAGCTATATACAGTATGTCAGTGTATATAACTTAAATCCGTAGACATATGCCTAGTTATTTTCTTCATAATCAGCATACTGTTTATAAATTATGGCATCGACAGTTGAAAACTTAACAATTGATCATAATAATTTCAGCTTCTATGGCATGGGATCATGATGAAATCTGAGGTGCAGCCACACAGTCTATGAGAGGGAATACTTATCGATCAATGGATCATTTGATTGAGTTTATTTGATATACTTTCTCCATTTCTATTTACACTTCACATTTGAATTAGTACTAAGACGAATTATGATTTATATTTGATGCATTTCTTGTTGTTCTTTTTGGGAAATGTTAAGAAAATTTGAACTAGAGGAGTACAAGTTACATTTGAGTGTTCATTCAACAAATTTCTAAGTTAAAAGTTTGTATTCTCTTACACTTAAAATAAACTTTATTAGCTGAAAGTACGTATAACTAAATGGTACAACATATATATAGTGCATAAATAAAAAGAAGATGAACTATTCAGCTTCAATACACTTTCACAAACAAAATATATATATATATAAGTCCAAAGGAAGAGTCTTGTTCCCCCCTTCATCTCTTAGGAAATAATCCATGATTGCTTAGCTACACAATAAGAAAAAGAATAAAGTAAGTCTCCGTAAGAGATTTAATCGATTGTGATTTAGCAAATATCTATATGCTACATCTTCATTTTAGCAGGATTTAACTTATATACTGCGACAAGAAGTTAAAATGTGAAATAGTGTAAGAAATTGTTGACACTGTCAGTGTATACGAGTTGAATACTTTTTTTGTAAAATAAGTGTAAAGCAAGTTACCTGTTCTTGAGATTTTCCAATCTTTATCACCAGCAACAGCCCAAAAAAAGTAGCCTCTAAGTCTTTGTGATTGAGCATAGTGTAACTTCCTTGCAACAGAGTTAGTGTCATCAAAGCCAATCCAAGAAGTTCCAGCCACAGAATAAGCAGAAACAGTAGCAGAATCATATACAACTTTAGCATTATTTTCCTCATTGAATTTCTCAATTTCCCTATAAGTTAATGTCCCTTCATCACCAGGACCAACACCAACTGCTGGTGCACCAATTCCATCAACATTTGGATCTTTCAATTTCCATGTCCTACCATAAAGTGGCAATCCCATAATCAATTTGCTTCTTAAGGCCCCTGCTTTGATCCAAGTACTTAGTCCATAACTTGTACTAACATTACTTTTCGTGTCAAATAATGCTGCTTGTGCACCAGTGGCAGACGTGTCCCATGATCCACGATAATCGTAGAACATTAAGTTGATCCAATCCAAGTTCTTGTTAATTGAAGGCACAGGATATGATCTAAATTCACCCCATAGGAAGAAGTCAACAGAGAAGTAAACAGCTGCTGTGATCAAAAGTTGTGGCCTTTTTGTAGCCAAAGATTCTTTTTTAACCTCAACCCTCCATTCGTTTACTAAAATCGCGAAATTCTCCATGTCCTTATTGTTCTGAGGGAATTCCCAGTCAAGATCAAATCCATCAAATTTATATTTTCTAGCTACCTCTATGCTAGATTTTATAAAAGACAAACGAGAGGCAGATGTTGATGCCATACGCGAGAACCTAGCCGGTCCTTCACCTCCTCCCCCAACCGAAAATAGTGTCTTGACAGACGGTCTTTTGGACCGGAGGGTGGAGGTGAAGTTGAAGAGGAGAGTGGAGGTTTCATCGTCAATATCGAATTTAAATGTTGTGTTGTTTGGTACAAGGAATGCATAGTAGATGTGAGTGAACAAAGATGTGTCTATGGATGATGGTGGGAAAGTTGAAAATGCCCATGAAGGGTAATATGCACCTTTGACACCTTTAGAGGGAGGGTGTGCCATTACACCAGAACAAAGGGCAAGACACAAGACAATACAACATAACATAATGTTAGCCATTTTATTGATACAAAAAAAATAAGATCATATGTTTGTTGCTTTAGTTTCTTCTCTATTTATAGGACAAATGGAGCCTTGATAAAGGTCTAACTTGGAATATTTATTTTTTTGGTATTAAGGAATTGGCTGTTTCTATTTGTCCACAAGACATGAAAAACATGACTTGGTATGTGTGGATGGAGTTGAAGATTACCTAAAGGAATTATTATTAAAAAGTTGATATTTTTGACTAGTTAGTTATGAGTATATATTGTCCCACTTCTCAATGGAGTTAATGCCTTTTTTGACTCTCTTTTTTTTGGTCTCCCGTGATGTCCGGTACTTATATTGAAGTCTGATTAAATTCAGATTCTTACCAGAAAGTCTAGTGTTGGGAGCATCAGCCGAGCCACCTTAGGGGAAGGAGTTAGGTATACACTCTTCACCGGATAATTATATGGTGTATAGAGGTTAAATGATAGCTATTATGAGCGTATATTTAATTTTGCATACCCTTGACAAAACTTAGAAAGAAAATTTGTACACCCTTCACTAAATTACTAACTCCACCACTAATTGAAGGTAAAATGCTCTCTACGTTCTCATCTGAGTTCCACTTCTTCCTCAATCCACTCTAAGAAAAAGGCAAGTACAACTACTCTACTTTAGAGTTGGTTGAACCCTTGATTAAATCCTGATCCGTACTGAGAAATCCCACATTTTTTATCAATAAGGACTTCATATCCAAATCTCGAACCTGAAATATTTGATTAAGAATGAAAGATAACCACTACTATTCACCACATACCTTTTGACTAATTCAAACTCTAGAAGGACATTTGATTTTAATATAAGTCAAAAGAGGAAAAGTTCTTAATAAGATTTCCCTTAGGATGATTGAAGTTTGACAAGCACCTAATATAGTTGTCCACTCGAGACGTAATTATTAGCTATTCATGTGGTTGCAATACAAAGGATATAAAACTATTTACTTGTTATCGTAGGTCAACTTAATTGCTCGTGAATTTATAATACATATTGAATCGAGAATGAATGAGAAATGGGTCGAGAAGTTAGGCATCGGCCCCTCTTGAATCATTACTCCAACATACTGATTGTATGTTTTTCACCGTCCAACACACATTATCTTTATCCATTCTATAACTTCTCATCCCTACGACTGCACTACCCCTACCCTTCACCACTATCTTCTATAGCATTTATTTAGCTTATATATACAAATACTTTAAGATAATAAATTTTGTTTATATTTTGAAACAAAATAAGCAAGAAGCCCATTTATATTTCAAAAGAACACACCCTTACAACCTTAAGTTTATGTAATGGAAAATGGAATATATTGAGATCTACCTTGATTCTTAAGTAGCTTTCTTCACTTTGCTATCTTTATTTTATGAAAAATGATGAATGGTCTATCTTAATATATACTATATTTTTTGGATCTTACGCCATCACCTTTAACCCAATTGACTTAAGATTCAATTATAATTATAACAATTATAAAATAAATTTAATTTTATACACTAATAATGTAATTTTCTATTATACTAATCATATCACCTAAAAATAATTACTATAAAAATCGTTTTTAACAAATGAGATTAATAACCTAAAAAATAAAGTAAATAGACTAATAAAATGCATTATAGTGTACAAATTCTTTATATTGCAAGGGCGGACATAAACTTTCATTTATGGTTTCACTTAAAACTTAGTGACATTAATTTAAACCTTCTATTTTTCATAGGAAGTTCATTTAACATGTAACAATTTTCAATTTTGAAACTAAAATTTCAAACATGTACTCTTTAAATTATGAATTCGTCTCTAATTATTATTGCATGTATAAGTTAAAAATTCTTTTAAAATTGTAATGGAATTGACCTTTCTCACCTCAATGCAACATGCCCCATGAAGTAAATGGACAGATAAGAAAAATTAAAAGGACATAATTTAATGGATATGGTCCACATGAGCACCAAGTTTTCATCAATGGCTTGGTCATATAGGTTGAACATTTTACATTAAAAATATGATTGAAAATTTAAAATCTGAATTTAGAACATTTTAGTTTTTTTTTTTCTGGAACATTTTAATAATATTGTTGACTTGGTCTAATTATTTTGTACTAAGGAATAAGGTGCCGTTTGGCGTTGGATGCAGTGATAGAGCTAAATTTTTTACTAAAGAGTGTCGAGATATAAAGAATGTACAGAGTAATTTTCTGATAAAGGAGTGTCGGTTAACACCCCTCAAGTACATGTGGCTCCGCCACTGGTCGGAGGTATTAATAATGTAGAGTTTAATTTGAACATATTCGAAGAAATTATGAACCCCAATCGAAATGGTTTGTGGGTTTCGAACAACTATAGTGGTTGAACCTAATAAGATAGCAACTTTTGATCTTCTATCCTATACAAAATAATATATATTTCTTTATGACTCGCACATATAATAGTTATACGAGATTGTAAACAAACGTCTTATTTGATGTGTTGAATTCAACGAATCGATCTCGTAAAGTATTAATGCAAATCTGGCTATCGTGATGTTGAGTCAATCTCGCCATAAAATGATGAAGCCGCCCTTATTATATAATGCCTTTAATTATATAAAGTCTTAATGGCACTTTTATTATTTATTTTATTATATATATAAAAGAATTGTAGTGAAGAGATATGGAAATTAAAAATTATAACACTCACATAACAAAGTAATAGGAAAGTAGTCACTTTTTAAGGAAGAGAATAATATTTGGACAAAAGTACCCCTAGGAAAAATGTGAAATAACATATAGAGCTCTTAACATAATGTGCAAAAGTTTGTAAGTTTGAAATTCCATGAATGATTTACAGAGTTTAAAATTTTAAATTTTAAATTCTTTCATAAAATCAGGAGCGAAATAATGATACATTATTAAAATAAATATCATAAGTGATATAGATATATATATATACATCACAACGTAATAAAATTAAATGTTTTTTAACATTTGAATTTCTATTTTTCATAATTTTATATTGTATATGTGGATGTATGAATAAATAAAAGAGGTTCACTTATTAGTTAGTATTATAAGGTTTAAAATGTATAATACTTAAAACTTTTTTAAACAGAACAAAAAGAGATAAAATCAAATTGGTTTTCAAAATGCCTTTCTGAATATTCTTTAATGTCTTGGATATGACAATTATTAAATTGTCTCTAATAAATTAATTTTAAGTGATTAACTTTGTCAGATAGTTTGTCAATAAATTATATTTTACTCAACTACTAGTATTGTTTTTCTGCATGTATATATTCTACTTACCTTAATATTAATTAATCTAATAATTTGATGAATTTGTAACATTCTTGACAACTTTTAGTGCAATTGTGATTAAGAATAAGTATTATGATTATGATAATAAGATTAATAGGGACCTCTCAGCAAACAGTTTGGTTTTTTATTCTTGGATGTATCTTTTTTGTTCAAATTATATCATCCATCTTATAATTAATTTCTATCTTAATTAAAGGGATTATTTCTTCTAGAGTATTACAAAAAGTAATGAAGCTTCCTCCAACATTTATCATAAGTTTTGGGAGTAGTACCTATTTATTCAATTAAAGATTGAGTTATATTATGTGACGTTTTTGACAGAGGGCTGACTGATAAAAATGTGTTAAAGAAAATGATTGTTTGGTTTTTAAGTTGCTAAGTTTCTAAAGAAGGATACACATGACATCTTAAGTCAATCTTACATATCGAGATAAAAGAGGAAATTAAAAAACTCTATAACACACCATAAGTTCACATGATGTACACATTTTTTGGATCGATGAAGGCCTACCAAGAAACACATACGTAAGGCAACTGAGACTTGTTGGATCAAAGTGGACAATAAGTGTTATGATTATGATGATAACTAATATGATATAAGAGTCAGACACTCATGTGAGAGGTCAAACCTCGACGGGAATTCTAAGTTTCTAGCGCCTATGATATATAAAGGACGGATCGATGAGGGTAGATCGAAGAGAAAGACCGACTATATATGTGCTTCTAGGGTCAATAAACTTTTATAGATGGGGTGCACATAACACCTTAGATGTATCCCACATCAAAATGAAAGATGAAAGTAAAGATTTTTATTTATAAAGCATAATACAAGTTAACATGATACATGCGATTATTGAGCTCGATGGCGGCTGTATAGCTCAAGGGACAAATTCACAAGGCATGTAGAGCCAAAGTGAACAATACGTATCATGAACTTGGATTGTGACACCTCATATACACAAATAATGTAAATGATTTTTTTTATATTGTCAAACCAATCTTATTAATTAAATTAATGAGTTATATATTGCGACAATTCATCATCATCCTAGACAAATGGTCCCCACTATTTGTGAAGAAAAGTTAAAAATATTTATTAAAATAGTCAACTAGAAATTTTATCTATTAGTCAAAGACAAATTTTCTTGGGAATCTTAATTGGATTTAGAAAAAGAAAACATAAAAATACTAATCAAATGGGAATTTTGCAAAATTTTTGGTTATTTCACTTTCCATTTTTCTTGTGGACTTTCTTTATAGGAAAAATTAATTGATGTAGCAATTTCAACCCTCTTATTATTTTTTATATAGTGATATTTTAAAAAAATTACAACATATAGTGATATCCATAAATAGCTCTATTTATGAAGTAGTTTTAAAACCAATGAAAAATGATTTTATTTTTCTCAAAGTTGTTATATCAATTTATTCAAATTAATTATGTATAGGGTAGTGGAACTATGTGTCAATGAACTAATTAATGGCAAAAAAAGGACATAATTCTGAGTCAGCTCTATTGACAAGATAAAGTTATTAATGATATACATTACTCCTTCCGTCCCATAATACTTATCACAGAGAATTAATTAAATTAAATTAATTTACTATTATTATAAAATTAAAATTTTGATATTAAAAAATAAATAAAAAATATTATAAATTATAATTTTTCTTATATCAATATGGTGAAAAAAATACATCTTAAAATATTAATTATTTGAGTAATTTTACTCTAAAGAACTAGAATGTGATAAGTATTTTGGAACTGACAGGATAATTAAAAAAATATATATCAAACGTTGAAATTGCCGAGATATATATTTTTTGAATAGTTAAAGTTGACAAATCCGTAGTGGTTTCGTTTTTGACTTTTTTACCAATCCTTAAAAATTAAAATGTGTTTAAATTCTGAATAATGTGAAAAGATGTTTATCCATGGAGTTGACTACGATTTCATGGTGCCTCATAGCTCATAAGTCCATTTTTTTTACTCTATGTTCAATATTTATTGTGTAGTTAGATTAATTCAAATTTACATTGAAAAATCTAATTTAAAAGGTAAAATGCTTACTATTAAAAACAATTCAATATTCAAAATTCGACTCTGAAAACTTTTATTGAAAATGAAAAAATATTTACCGTTTCACCATAATTTTTGATTGTGTATATATAGTTCATAGTCCACAGAACATTCTCAACTATAATATCCACTACTTTTTGTAAATAAAGAAAAATCCTGAGGTAACATTGTACATAGCCTCTTTCAGCAAAAAGGTAAGGTCTAGAGGAACATTTTGTAATATGTAACAACTTATTTGTATTTCGTGTTTACGCCAAATCAATAATCGTAAATTATGTGTGATCTCGTATAAGTGTATTTATATATGGAAAATACATCACACTTGTATTAGTCAACTAAATAGTTCTTTATCTATTCAGTGTTTAGCTATGTTTGTGATATTGTACAAATTTGCAAAGTTAAATAATGTTACAATACCAAAAAAAAACATCATTTTTTGGAACAAAGTATAAAGGAACTATTGTATATATATGAATGAATCTACATCTTTGATATATAGTTATACATCATATTATATTTCTGGTTTTATTCGTTCACTTTAAGTTTGTTTTTATTTTTCCACATTATGTTCCTTTTACAAATCTTCCATATTTATGTTGTACAATTAACAAGTTGTTTTGTTCTTAATTACCAGCAACAATCCTCATGAAATACAACAATAGCATGGGGTCGGGAGAGAATAGAGTGTATGTAGACCTTGCGCCTATCCTGTAGAAATAGAGAGGCCATTTCCAAAAGACAGACATGGCATCATGCGTTTTCCCAGTGAGCTAGTTCGGTGGAAATAGTGTCAAAATTAAAAATCATGTTTTATATATAGCACAAAATTTTCATTGATTAGCGGTGGAAAAAAAAATTCTGTTTCTGGTATATATTTATATATTCCCTTTTTCTAACCTTCTTTGAAAATGTGTTACTCGAACCGAGGCTCTTCAGGAAACATCGTCTCTACCTCCACAATGTAAGGGTAAGGTCCGCATACACATCACCCTTCACATAATCCCACTCATGAGATTATAGTAAATTTGTTGTTGATAATCATTCATGACTCCACATTCATCATACTTAAAGTCACTACTAAAACAATTTTCCTTCATCATGCAAGGATTTCCCAAAATCAAGTAAAGACAACAATAACACCAAGTGGAGTCTGAGGAGAGTAAGATGTACGCAGACTTTCAAGTGTTAACGAGCTATAAGTTGGGAAATAGTGAGACTATTTTCCGAACAAGCTAGTTCAACTGTGACTAAAGTCTCTTTCGCGATATCGTTTTTATTTTTGGAAAAGGCAGGAACTTTAGGATTTGGCAAGACTTCAATTTCATTTTTGAGCATGGAGTATACCTCCAACATGGATGGTCTGTCTTCCCATTTTTCTTGAACACATAATAGTGCAACTTGCATGTATCTCACTTGTTTACTTATTCGAAAATCATCTTTCAGTGATGGATCAATGAAATCCACTCCATTGTCTTTTTGCCAAAGTTCATATGCCTGATGAATTTTGATCAAATGAGGTTAGTAATTCTGTTGTGTTCATACTGTATTCGAGATCACAGAATTTACTGTGTGTCCTTATGGAATCGAATCCCCTCATTATATTTGAGGTTATGGATTTACTTCCTTACTATATATAAGCACAAAAGTTTTCCTCTTCATTACCAATGAGGGAGAAATGAACTTACGTATTCAAGAAGATTCAAATCGTTCTCGATGCCATATTCACATGAATTCTTCTTTCCACCAAGGATTTGCAACAGCAGGACTCCGAAGCTATAAACATCATATTTCCTGGAGTATACGCCTCGTTTAACATACTCTGGAGGAACACAACCACTACAGAACACAAGCAGAGATGTTAAAAAGTAGGGAGTATGTATATTAAGTAAGTAAACAATGGTTAAAGAGTCATGATATTTACTAAGTCCCAACAATCTTTCCAGTGCTTGCTTCTTTTTCGTCTTTCTGGAATAGTCTAGCTATACCGAAATCTGAGATTCTTGGCTTCATCTCGTCGTCTAGTAAAATGTTGCTAGCTTTCAAGTCTCTGTGAATTACTGTGAATGTTGAGTACTCTTGGAGGTATAATAGTCCTTGAGTAACTCCTTCTATAATACGTACTCGCGTCTCCCAGTCTAATTTCAGACTCTTCACGGGGTCTGCATCGATCAGACAATCAATTCTTAGTAACTATATGTACGTTTTTGATACATTCCACATATCTTAGACAATTTCTCGAGATTGAAGTTCTCTATTCCTAAATGTTTGTTTAAACAATATGTAAGCATTGTCAAGTACTACGAATAATTTTGTAATGAGGTAAGAGTTTATTACGCGCACCATAAAGGTAGAAATCCAAACTTCTATTTGACATGTATTCATAAATCAGTATTTTCTCTTCTTTTTCGATGCAAAATCCCTGAAGTTGTAGAACATTGACATGTTGTAACTTTGAAGCAAGTGAGACCTCATTCTGAAACTCTTCTACTCCTTGCTTAGAGCATTCTGAAAGACGTTTTACTGCGATTTCCTGTCCATCACTTAACCTTCCCTGGAACAATAAGGAGTATGGTTAAAATGTAACTCAAATATCTAAAACTAGAGTTATATGTCTTAACTATGAGACATTATGTGGAAAACTTACAAAGTATTCCGAGGAGGAAATACTGATCAAGAAGAGAATCCTAGGAGGAGGTAAAAGATATAGAACTTTTTATGTACAAGCTATTCTATTTTCGTCAATTTCACATTTAGATTTTTGTCAAAGTACCAAAAAAAAGACTAGTTGAGTTACCAATACCTTATAAACAGGTCCAAAACCTCCCTCTCCAATCTTGTTTTTGATGGAGAAATTATTTGTAGCTTCTTTTATTTGACCAAAGCTGAAAACTTTGAGATTACGACCTATAGCTCTTTCGTTCAATTCCTCGATACCTATAATCAAAGGTAAAACTTTTAAGTTCCACTATATTCCGATTAGTCGTTTAAAAGAAAGAGTGACAAGGAATTGATATATATTAGTTACCTTCAGATCTTACAGTTTTCTTTTTTAAGATACAAAGTATTGAACTTATTACGATAATGGTACTGATAGTGATCGTTGGCAAAAGAATTGCTAGTAACCTTCTCTTGCTACCGCGATGGTCTTCTTCTTCTTCTTCTTCTTCGTCTGAGGCTGAGGCTGTAAAGAATGTTATCATGTTTATATGGTGTTATCAAAAGCAAAAGTCAGAAAAAAGCTCTAAGATATGTTGTTGTTGTTGCATATGTACAAAGAAATTTGTGAAAATGTGTGATAGATTGAGTAAATCTTGAAATGAATAAGCAAGCTCTGTATGATGGTTATTCCCCTTCCTATGGATGTAAAACAATATTTCCCCGTCCTGTCCCAATTTTAGTATCTTACTTTTCTTTTTTCGTCTGTTCCAAAAAGAGTGTTTCTTTCTATATTTAGTAACTTTTCCAATTTCAACATTCTACGTGACAAGTATACTGGAAGACAAACTATAAGAGAGATTTTTCAAAGGATTATGATGTAACCTGCTTTTGAAAGCTCCCAATCGACATCATCGCTAGGAATTTGGAATGCAGCAAAACCACGAAGCCCCTTATCCTTCGCGTAAGAAACTTTAGTTCTTATAGCCTCGACATCATCATAACCAATCCATAATGATCCAATAGTAACATAGTTCACAACATAAGTTGAGTTATAGACAGGTATGGCTCCATAACTTGTCATATATCTCTTGATGAATTTGTAATTCATCGATGATCCTTCGCTTGCTATTGCTGGACCTCTTGCAGGCGAGCCTACCATGTTATGATTTGGATTCACAAGCGTCCACGCATAACCATGGTATGCTAAGCCTATAACAATTTTATTGGCTGGTAAGCCATTCTTGATCCATTCCTTTATCCCATAATCTGTATTTCGCGTGCTTGATGGATCATATAAAGCTGAATGTGCTCGTGTAACGTTGTTTTTTGAAGGCAAATAATAGTCATATGCTCTGAGATGAACCCAATCGAAGTTTCTAGCAATTGTTTCTACTGGATATTTCATCGATTGATCTAGCATTGGTGAATAGTATGCTCCCATAGTTAAGATCAATGAATTGTTGGACTCAGAATTAATCGTTGTTCGCCACTCTTCAATGAATGTTCTCATATTAGTCATGTTTACAGCTGTATTTGGATTGACACCATGAAGATCAAGCCCTTGAAATCCATATAGTCGAGCAGTTTTTATTGAACTTGTGATGAATGATTTTCTACGCGAAAATTCACTAGTCATCGCGAAGAAGTCAGGGGATTCATCACTTCCTCCCCATATGGATAGAAGTGTTATAACTGATGGATTATTTTGTTTCACATTTTTGGTAAAGGTTGAGATATATGGTTCATCAGAGTTATTTATGAAAACCTCGAAATTCGAAGTGTTGATATGTGCAAAGGAAACATAAAGATGTGTGTACATAGTAGGAACTTCAAGTGTTGGAAACACACTGCCAGTATACCAGAACCCAGATTTTATCCAAGATGTTGTATCTGAAGAACTCGAAAAAGGAAGAACAAGTAGAAAGAGGAAGGAGAATAGCCTTTTCGAAGACATTTTGAAGTAAATAGGCGATTTACTAGTTGAAAAAATGAGGATCTGTTGAAGAGTTTTGTAGAGAATAGTTCAATCTTTTTGTGCAATAGGAAAGAGTCCTTTAGAATTCCTTAAAATACGCTCTGATGAGGCTTGAGTATAAGAGGGGTACTTGAACAGAAGGTCGTCTAAGACTAGTGAAAATCAAATTGAGATGCTTAAGATTTCTTGATATCAAGCAATAGTCTTTTGTACTACATGTCTTAATTTTCAACCATGTAATAAACTTTTTGGCAAAGGTCTCAATACTATATCGTTGATTTGTCTATTTTTATATTTACTAACAATTTAACTTTAAAATATTTATTTTATCTCTGACATGATTTATATCCACATAACATCTATGACTTGTTTAGACCACAAGTTTCAAAAATATTTCTTTCTTTCTTAAACTTCGTGTCAAGTCAAACAACATCACATAAATTGGGACGAAGGGAGTATTAATATACTTGTTGGTAAAAGTCTCAAAACTATATTGTTGATTTGCCTAACACCTTTGCTTGTAAAAAATGAATTGGTCAATCTGTAGTTTGTGATGAAAAGTATGTTTGATTACTGTCATAGAAACTTCTGGAGTCCTGGTGCAATTTAATATAAATTTTGGATGTTTGTTCTAGTCATGTTCACATTTATAAAAGCATCATCCTTGGATATTTCCGTGTATTTACTTCTTTATGTTTTAATTCCGTTAATGAAAATCTTGATTTCCTTCACTATAGTTGTACATACAATAATTCTTGATACCAAGAAGCTATATAATTTCAAAACCAACAACAACAATATACCCAGTATAATTTATAAATGAAGTCTGAAGAGTATAATCTTATAAAATAGAAAATTTAAAAAGATAGACAAGTTATTTCCGATAGACCAGTCTAAAATTTCAACCCCTATGAACTTCTTGGTAAGTGCTTTGTGATAAAATCTTATGAAAGTCATATTATGTTTTGACTTGACTAGTGTAGCATCCTTGCATGTAAAGATCCTCTTGACTTCTATGCCACTGCCCCAAATGCTGGGTTTGTAGACCATATCTTGTACACAAGATTCAATTGTGGTTCAAAAGATTTTTCATACTTGTCTACCCTCCACCCATCCTTGATCAACTAGATGAGCTTGGTTAAAATTTTAACCTTGACAGTTAAAATCGAATCATGGTTAAGTGATACTTATTTGAACGCAATACATATGTCTTACATTTGTTGATTTGGTATAAATACTGAATGCACTAAAATTAGGGATCTTAAGATACATAATTGGTTTGATTCAATGTTTCCTTCTCTTTGTCGGTGTACACAGATTATACACTGCTTATATACGATTATACTTCTGTTTTGCGCTTGGAGCATTAATTAGAAACAATTTTATCACAGTTATCATTCATGACTCCACATTCATCATACTTCAATTCACATTTGTGAGGTGAAAATGCTTTCCCAAAGCTAATTAAACAACAACAATAACATACCACTACACCAAAAATGATCTTTAGTGACTAACCACATATTGTGATCCAATAAAATGGTATGAGAATCATGACGTCTTAGGTTCAGGTTCAAATCACAACAGAAACAATAATTTGTCATAGTGCCACGAAAGTTTACCCGAACAACACGGTTAGCAAACTAGCTAAAAAAATCAACATTTTAAGATGAAATTCAAAGATTTCATTAAGTATTTGAATCGAAATAGGTTCAGACTTTGGGTATTACATGGCACTTACCTAAGCCCATTACTGATGGGCCTTAAAAGCTTCTATCAACCTAATTGGGCTCACTCTAAGACTCTAGCCCATTTGTTCAGGACATTTCTTTACACTTTTAAAAAGAAGAAAAAAAAGGAAAAATTCATACAAAATAAAATAATCGATAAATGCATAATATATGTATTTATTATTTATGTGTACACCATAGGGAAGAGCTATTGGGGTGCCAAAGATTTGAGTATACTATTCCTTTTGATTTAATTTGTGTGGTTTGATTTGGAGAATGCAGGTTAAATTAATGTGAATTCAGACACAAAATATTTAATTTTGTTGATAATAAAGTTTACGTATTTAGAAATTATACAAAAAATGCTGCAATCATCTTTGATTTTCTCAAAATCGACTTTTTAATAATATATTACAAGTCTTTCTACATTTCTTAAGCTTCATATCAAGGCATATCAAGGGATTCCTCGAGTTTATATGAGTCTAAATTTTTCTTATGAGATTATATATATATATATATATAGTAGTGTTATATTTCTAAAAAATTGTCTAAATATAGATGTGTGAATCCAAATTCGAAGTATCATATAATACAATGATGATTTGGGTGCACCTCTCTAAGTGAGGTTAGAAATTTAAATTTATATCTATTTTGTTTTTTTTTCTTTGTTAAATTGGACAACACCTCTTTAAGTGGTTATTGATAGCACTTTTGATGTTTTAATTAATTTTATTCATATATTTTGCTTTATTCTTTCAAATTTTTCAAGTCTTTCACATTGAAAATTCCTAAAAAAATAAATGTTAGCACTATAAAAATGTGTATATTAAAACTAGTAGTATTTGGATGATAAAACATACAATCAATGGACTGAACCGATCTCAATACACTTTTTGGTAAAATTGCATCATCATCCTCTCAAACATCTGAATAGCCATTCCTCCTTACATAGTCAAATATATTTAATTTGTATAAAATGAGATGAGGAGTATGAGTTATATAGAGATTTTTTTTAGTTAATAAAGTAATATATCCAGCAACAAGAATGAGTAAACTTTGTAAATTGCCGTACATATAACACATATTTTTCATCATCATCAAACAAATTAATTACATGTGGCTGTTGTTAGATTTAGTCAAATGATTAGTTAATTGATTCCTAATATGTAGTTTCCTCTATTATTATCTATATAACCCTCAAAAGTCAACAATTACCAAATTAAATAACTCACCAAGATAACCTATTTTCACAAGAAACTATTCAAATTTAATTTCTATCATAACGTGACAAAATAGATAACGCTAGTCACCACATATGATCATTTTTTCAAGAATCCATCAAAGACCAATCTTTTAATTGGAATGGTCAAGTTTATTTATGTATTATTTGAAAATAGGCTAACTTTATCATTTTATTAAACTTTTAATCTATTTAGGTACATGTCATATCCTATCTAATTATATCTCTCCAATTCTTCCCCATCTACCTCTACCTATTCTTGGGCCTATATATCATTGTCCACCTCTCACACCTCTTCATTGGGACGTTTAACTCTTTTTCATGTGTACGTTTTCAACCTCGCTATCCGCATCTTGTCTACTATGGAGATCACTCTCAACTTATCATGTATATCCTCACTCTTAAACATATCTATACTAGTATATCGACACATCCATCTAAGCATTCTCCTTTTCATTATTTTCATCTTTTGGATGCGTAAATTTTTGACTGACTAAGATTTTGCCTCGTACAACATAGTTTATCTAATTAACCACTCTAAAACTTTCATTTAATTCGTTTAGGACATCGAACATGAGCCTATATTTCATCCACTAGCTCCAATGCAATGTGTGACATTAGCGTTGATCTTTCTATTTCCTTGAATTATTGACCCAACATACTTGAAGCCCCCTCTCTTAGGGATGACCTGTATATGAATCATCAATTCCGCATCTGCCTCATGTACCCCATTTTAGTCATGATCAACCTAACATGTTATTTCTTCCATCACCAACGCAAATAAAAACAATCTAAGAACTGATCGATCCCTAGTGCAACCCCATCTAATTTGGATTTTGTTCCTACTTTCAAATGTTATGCCTTTAAGGAATTACCCTTCCGAATCGGATTAGATTCGAATCCAACTATGTTTTCTCATACATTTCTCACCTTACAAACAAAATATTAAATAGTCGTCTAATGTTCTAATAAAACTCAAACTTTTAGATCGATCTAACATTTTCTCATAATTTTTTAAATTTGCTCAAACATGAACTTTAGATCGTGATCTAACATTTTCTCATAATTTTTTAATTTTGCTCAAAAATGAACTTTAGATCGTGATCTAAAAAATTCATAAGCTGCAAAAAACAAAAAGAACTTATTTACTAAATAATTATTTCAAAAAAGATTAATGATAAAAATAATTTCGAAAGAATTTGCAAACGACATATTCAAACATTTGCTTATAATACATAAGCAAATGTTGACGATTCTATTTTTAGAAGCATGAAAATTCAATCACTTTGTACTTAAATGTTAGTTAAAACTTAAAAGCCGCCGGTAGACAGTAATTAAATAATCTTGTAATTAACTCAATTCTTGAAACTTATATATATGTTCATATACTCAAAGTCACAAATCAAATAAATATCATCCAAATTAACCTTCAATTTAATGGCTAATTCCATCAAACTTTTCTTTTTATTTTTCTTCCTCCAACAATTAATTTTCTCTAATGGCCAAAATAATGTTGTTAAAGGAGGGTATTGGTTTAGGGATAGTGGATTATCCTTAAACAACATTGATTCAACTCTTTTCACACATTTATTTTGTGCGTTCGCAAACCTTAACCCCCAATCGAATCAATTAGTCATATTGCCAGAAGATCAAGATTCGTTCAGACAATTCACGAGCACAGTTATGGGGAAGAATCCGTCGGTTAAAACTTTGTTGTCCATAGGTGGAGGGAGAGCTGATAGAACAGCTTATGGAGTCATGGCAAGAACACCAAATTCAAGAAAAAGTTTTATTGATTCATCAATAAAATTGGCTAGACAACTGGGATTTCATGGACTTGATCTTGATTGGGAATATCCTGAATCAACTATAGATATGACAAATTTAGGTACGTTAAATTGTGTGGTCATCATTTTACTAATATGTTTGTTATTTTGGGATGAGGTGGGGGTCCCCCCATACCCCCAAATTTGTAAAATTATGTTGATTTGATTTTTTGATCGTATTGG